TTATTATGTATATTTTAAATATAAACCTGAAATTTTACTGGAACAGCATTTGGCATAAGACGGGATTTCGAGCATTAGGATTCATATACATTTGTTTTCGAAATCCGAACAAATGTATCTTTTATGTTTTCGGACTTAACCCTTCTATGCATATGTTTCCTAAAAGATTAATTCATAAATACTATTAGATTATGCCTATATCTTAGGCTTCTGTTTATATTTTGTTTGTAATTATTTTACTCTGAGTTTATTACCCATTTCCTATATAATTCGAGATTAGATGATGGGATTGAATGAAAACATTATTACTCGTTTTCGAGTTTTATTACATTAAAGTAATAACATTTATCACCACCAGACAAGTAAAATATTTACTTTAAATAAATTAAAACAATGTTAATCAAAACAGAAAATAATATGTACTGGCATCAAAATCAGGACGTTGATGTGTTCACGACGACATACAAACGTATACATTCTATTTTATAAGTGTTATTATAATCATTTATGTTTTATTATTATTATTAAATGGTTAAAATAAATTTGTCTACAACCCATATAAATTACTATGGAAGTAAGAAATATTCATAATAACACTTATAAGTTATAAATAATCTATCTAGAATTTATTATTGGTGGCTACAATTCAGAATAATTACTATACATATATTAATTATTTAAATTAAAATAAGTGTAATTTGTAGATATATCAATTATATAAAATAACGATTCTACAAATGTTATGCGTCTATCATCGTACATAACTAACATTTATAATAATATAATAAGGATTAAGGCCATATCATCACATATACATAGCCACATAGGTACACTAGTATAAATAAATAAAAATATTAGATTAGAACTAAAATTATTGTGACTGGAGGTGATAGTTGTATGTTTTAATAGTAAAAATACTCAGAAAACGAGTATTTACAGACTCTTCAACTACAAGTCAATGATACCTCGATAAATAAATCTCACTTAGAAATTTGTTCGGAAGTTTATTTTGTTTACTTAGCAAATAAATGTTTAGTTAAATTTATGTGCACAGATTGCCAATCACATTTATTAAACCAAATCATGATTGAACAACGACAAGAGCTTTTAATTATGTACAAGACGAACGAACATGTTGGCCAATGCAGGGTCTTTAAGTACAACAGAAAACTATATTAAATACATCAATAATGTGTTTTGATATTTTTAACCATACACTCATCAAAACTGAAAAATGTTTTAGGCCAACTAAGCAAAATCCTTAAAAATCAGTATCAGCTATGCCGATTTACAAAACTCAAGATGCTGGTCAATAGTCATTATTTGTATGTCATTGAACTACCGACATTAATTTTAACAATGTAGAAAATTATGTATACATTTAAAAACGTTGCAAAATTAGCGTTTTCAAAATTTGTGTGATGTATAGTGTTATAAAATGTTTTAAACTAGTTATTAAAGTCGAGTTTTTAATCCTAGCAGTACTTTTATTTAGATTATTACTTTTAATCATACTAAATATTTATTATACATTAATTAACTATATTTGTTTAAGGCACAATAACAGACAAGTGAAGGATATTTTAATATTAAGTTTTGTTAGTCACCTAGCTAGTATTTAAAATATTTCAGTTAAATTATAAACTGGATATCAATTTTGATTATATTTTGTACCACTGTATCGGTAACAGTGACGCCAGCGGATCTAGAATTCTACAAGTGATTAACGTATTAATGATACTATTGATAGCGTAGCCCGATAGTGTAAATGAATATAAATGCCAGTGTCGATTATGAAAATGAAATGATGCGCCTCTCCTGAGAGCGCTGTGCCGGCACAGACGACGTGACTACTAGCGATTACAACGGTATCCGATCTTACTAACCTGGCGCCCGCAGCTGCCCATAGCGGCACCCGATTATTCGCGCCACCGAAAACCGGCCAGTGACAATCTATAGTTTATAATCAATGATGGTATATATGTATATATTATTATTTTACAATCGGCCGAGTGCCATATTTAATTTTATATTGTCATTATTTTATTCCGTGCCTCCGTGGCTAGTTCGTCTGTCTGCATCGTACTATCGTATAGCATTTTATACTGCAGTCTGGAGTATCGGCGTACCTCGATAAACGGTTTTTTGTACAACTTCAAGTCTACTGTTTAAAGAGTTAAATTAAATATTTCATTGTTACTTTTAGACCAAATTCACATTAAAACATGTCACCTATTAATGTACGGTCCGCTAGCAATATTTGATAAGAGAATTCAAGGGTTCCCAAAATCTATTGCTAATCATCAATTTGTATACATAGTTGCCTATCTTAATCCTGAAAATCCATTGCTAACGTTCAATCGTGTGCTTATTGCCTACCCGATTACTAATCAATATATTATATTTCTAGGTATTAGATTCATCCATTTAGTACTTACCTGACTGTAAGAAAAATGTATTGCCGTTGTTCAATTTCTTTATTAGGGTATTTTCTTAATACCTAAAAATCTAAAATGGATTATAGGTTTAAATGTATTTTGTAAACTACCTAAAAAAATTCCATGGTTATTTAGTTATATTTAAATTTGGTTCCTTTCAGTACTTATACTTAATCATCGTGATGTTTAATAATTTTCAATTAAACTAATTTAATTCAAAAGATTTTATTATGATGGTAAATTAAAATGCTTATATTATCATGTTATTATTTTTTAATCTTATTTGCAATAGGTTCCTAGTCATTGTTTTTTTTTTTTTTTTTTTTTTTAAATGGATTATTTAGAACGTACACTCTGCTATGATGTCCGTTTGTAAAACACCAAGATGGAGACAAATGAAAATGCATACTAGTGTAGTGGCAGTGGCGGCTATCCTCAAAAATATACGTGAAGCGAAACATAAGAAATAACCACCCATCAACAACAATATTCATCCATATAATATCCTATCTACTGAATAGTTAGACAATCCACCCCACCCACCTCTTATTAAACGTGTAGCAAGCGCTACACCTCTACTCTAGGATGGGATAGCCGCCAGTCATCACTGTATTTTCAATGTTATTATACAATATACATGTTCCCCGTTAGAGAATATAAAGATATGACGACATTTTAAAATTGTTAAATCACGGTTTAAGGTTTTATAATCTATGCATATGATAATTTACCAGCATTTCCCGCATAAATTTAAATAATATTATAACTATTAGGTATTTATTGCAAATAATTATAGGTAATAATTATAGATTGACTATAAAGTATGAAAATTTTTGTTTTTTGGTACCAGTTGAATTAGAGATTAATATAAAAATCCGCATTTCCAACTATTTTTATAACATTTGAAACACTTCATATGCACAGTGCAGTTTACAGGTAAGCAAGTTTGATTTTCTTGGTTGTTGAAATTATTAATTTATTATTTTAAAATAAGCCTTAATATTTACTTTATCATGAGGTCGGAGGTCCTATTCACAGATATAGATAATAAATAATATAACAATTATTATAACAGGTATAATATCACAGTATCACACTGTGAATTTGCTAGATGATAACTGAATAACTGATAACGAGTAACGATAGTGTGATCACTGATCACTGTTATTTTATGTATTAGTTGCAGCCATAGAGTAACTCTATGGTAGCAGCACAGAACAATGATAGTAGTGTAATCAGTATATCTTGATAACAGAGTTGAGTTATTGGCACGGCTATAGATAAACTGGAGATAAACTTTATCTTAGCCATGGTTATTGGAAAAAGCAATCTGTTTTGAATGTTTGATGATTAATGATTAATTATTATCATAGATTATAATTTTCAAATTTATTTACAGTTGTAATTTTGTTATAAATATTAAATTTTTTACATACTCATCACTAAATTATTTACTAACTACTTACTTGTCACTGCTGTTATGTGCTACATTTATATGATGACCTAAAATAGTTTTAGATTAACGGATACAAATATTTTACTAATGAATAAAATAACTCAATCATTTAGTAAAAAAACAAAAATCTGTGGGATATAAAATGTTTTAATGTATTATATAATGAACTTTAATACAACAATGATTTTTTTATTTTTCTGAAGATTAACCATAGTTCATAAATGATAGTTTTTTTTTTTATAAACTACCTTATAAGTTATAAACTACTTTATAAGTTCAATAAATAAAACACAAGAATTATAAGAAGAACACTACATAAAGGTAATCTTAAACTGTGATATTATCAATTAACTAATTCAGATTTTATACATAGCATTGTTCAAGGAATAATATTAAAGTTTTACTACTGCCAGAAGTCATATAAATTCACAAGTTCAATGAATATGAGGAAAAAGAAATATTTAAAAAATGGCTGTCCCGGTATAGCTGTTAAGCGCGAAAATGATTTTTTGATTTTGATGTGTAATAATAAGGACATAAGATACTAAATTCCTATATATACTGTAAGTAATTATTATTTTTAATTTATCATATATTTTATATAATTTACTTCTTTAATTAGTTAGTATTTTTTTAGTCAATTAATAATGAAGAGGTTATGCAATTTACAATAGTTTTCTGTAATGAAATTGTACTGTATCAAGAAATGTTTATGAATAATAAAACCCATTTTTGATATTGTTAAACAGTTCACTGAAAGTATTAGCTAATGATTTTTATTATTTTGAATTTAAGTGCTTATTTATCATGTATTTTAGGTGGATAAACAATTACCATATTGGATCGCTGAAGTATTTTGATGTTCTCTGACTTTAGTCATTGCGCATTAATTGTACTGCAAAATTATTATCCAAAGTGTTGGATTATTTATTTGCCATCATATTGGGTGTGAAACGTTGAAATAAAAAATGTACTCATGAAGTGTCCCAAACCTATCTAATAATGGTAATAACAATTACTATAGTTGATGATAGATAATAGAATATTATTTTTTTAAGTCTTTATTTCACATGTATTATAATTATAATTTTTTATTTTTAGATTGGATGGCAAGTTAAATCTAGTTTTATAAGTCTTATACAAGTTCTATGTGAAGAGTTAGTTATGCAAGTTTAATGAATATTATTATATTCTGAGATTCACAATTTAACAGATTTCCACACCACCTTAGCATTGTTTTCAACAAAACTAGAGGTACTGCATTTTGGCGCGTTTTCTTTTAAAGTGGTTTCCCAACATAGGCCTACTCCACAAATTTTCTTAATTACACTCACTTTTTTAATTTACTCACTTATACTTTATAAACTCTTTGCATTGGACACACACAAAACACATTCAAAATTATCATCACAATCTGACGTTTGTCCTATGTTTGACAAACATTGTATTACAATCCATCTGTTACATGTATCGCATTGCACCCAATCGATATTTTCCTTTTTTATCTCTTTGTGTTTTTTGTCCGTACGCCCACAATACAAACAAATATCTCTCATGAAATCAGATTTCTCCAACAAAAGATCTTTTAACACCTCTCTGTATAACATTGGGTTGAAGTCTTGATTGAAATTAGCGTTTTCAATCTTATTTTTCATCATACACTCTGCATAGTATAACACATAAACTCCGCAATTATAACTATCGGATTGTTTAGGATAGTAAGAAAATATTTGGAAATGCATTTCTGGCCATACATTTCCTACCTCTCCATAAATATGATTTTTTTTCAGTTCACCGAGTATAGTCACAAAATTATGTCTACATTTGTTATATTCTATAGTTTCAAATGGGTCCAAAAAATAGAACTTATGATTTCCAAAGTCTGCAAACACTATCACCCAGTGGTTACCATTTACATGTAATGGCATTACAAGTAAACTGTCTTTTGGAACAACTATAGTTTCCAAATTTGAAATTTTTTTCGAATGATCATTATTTAAATGACCTGATACATCACAACTCAAAATTTTTATTTCATTTGTATGCTCACAATATGTCTCTCTCAATACCCCCAGTGCTATATCAATAATAAAATTACTCAACCACATTTTCTTTATACTTTCAGGCGTATACGCTGATAGTGTGTCAAAGTCACTAAATAATAACTCATGACACTGAGTAATGTCTTTAACGATGCTATAAATGCCCACTACATAATCCAATTGTTTTCCATTTTTCTTCAAAATAGAACCATAATAATTTTTATCCTTTGGTAATCTATTTTCATACAAATCCATTTTGCACCGCAGACCATCTACTGGAGATCTGTAACTTTTTATAGAAATACAAGATTCTGATAGTGTCCTAGTATTTGGTGTTACAATTTCGTCATCAGTTTTTATGGAATCAAATGAGAGTAGGTTTATATTTGGTACATTTGGAGTCACACAAATCACATCATCTTTTACGTTTTTAATCGGTGACAAATGGTTCATAAACATCCGTGCCTTTAGTTGCTTTGAAGCAGTTTTTAAATGACCCCGGAAATAGAACCCTGTTTTTTTCTTTCTTGGTCCCCAACATTCTTTTTCTTCATTGTCGTCAGATGATGACGAAATCAAATGGACAAATGATGTATTTTCTTTTTTTAAAGTTTTTTTTTGTTTATTTTGAACTGGAGGAAGTGCACAATAATTTGATGGTATATCTAGCAGTACTTCTTTACATTTACTCAATATTATACTTCTAGTAAATTGAACAAATCTTCCACATTTCATACGCCGGCATTTTTTGTTTGTCTTTAAATCTCCAAACCAACTCTCCGCTGGAGCATTGCTTGCTCTGTCTGTTGACCCAAATACTTTGAACCGCATTACACCTGTCCACATTGGAATCACCGGAATAATAGACCCCATGATATCATTATGAAATTCAACACTATACAACGGATTTTGTTCAACATTAGGATATACTTTTAATGTTTCTTTTATGCTAACGACTATATTTTCAAACCGAGACAAGAACTTGGAATCTTTATACCGGTAAAAGGTCTTAACATCTCTTATTTGTTCATCTAATGTAACATTTTTTTGTTTTGTAATTAGATCATCAACTAGACTACTTGGATTTTCATGGCTGAGCTTCTTCAAAATCTCCATGGCATCATCCACATCTACAGACTTGGAGGGTGACAACAACACCGTCGTAACTGCAGTGAACCATTTGTCCAGACATTCTGTGGTGGTTATGTTGAATGCTGGCGAGATACACGCAGTCGCCAAACACGCTAAAGATCCATTGGTTATCTTCTTTCCATTTGCTTTATAATATTTATGAGCATCATCAGAGATATTTTTGATTAAATGACAACAACAAAGACTTATCAGTGCGTTGCAATTAAACATTTTGCCCTCATACATGAATTCATAACATCTATTCAAATATTCAACGACCTCATTACATTCGTTAAATGCTCTCACAAACCCTTTTAATATTGCTGTTGAAAAGTCACTGACAACATGTGCTGTGAACTTTGTACCACACTGTCGTTCATAGAATTTACGAAACTCCGTTAGCCAATTTGTTATCGCACTAGCAGTTTGTGTAGTCGACAGATATTCTGCAATTGGAATTATCCTCTTATTGCACACAGTGACAGCCGCATAATACAATAGTAATTTTTCTTTTCTTTTTCCTGTTTTGAATAGTGTTGGATCTCTTGTAGTTTCTCTCACCACCCCGCCAGTCGCATCAACATGAATTGTAACACATTTCATTTTTCTTAAAACGTTAACTTGATCTTGGCTAAACAAATAAGTTACAAAATCTTTCTCCTTTGGATCAGATACATACTGGATAAACTCTGAACATTTATCTTTCAATAAATGCATATCAACCCTGTCGTCAGCTGCTCGATCATCACCACTCTTTTGCTCATGAGACACCTTGTAATATACTCGGTCAGACCTGATGTTGCACAAGTTACCACGCTTGAGCTTACTAGGAGAAGCTTTTAAAATATACTTTTGTCGTAAACTCATCGGTGGACAGTACTTTGTCATTTGTTTTTGTTTCTGTCGATTTGTTCCTTTCAAGAAAGTAGTCAGTTTACCATAATGGCTGTAATTAAGGCTGTTACTCATAACTGTTATTTGTGCCATACTATCCGTTGTTTTTTTCTTCACTACTAGTTTAAACTGCTTACAAGATTCATGACGACAAATACCATAACATGTCAAACCTTTCTTGGTAATGTTTTTATTCTTGATAGTTAAAACACAAGAGTTATTTACGGTTTCAAATTTTTCACGCAATAAATCATTTATTTCATTTGAAATAACAATATTTTTTTGCATTGAGTTATCAACTATTTGCTTCAATTCTTTATCCTGTAAGCTAATTGTTCCTTCCACAAAATTACACTTTTTATAACATATAACCTTTTTCATTTTATGATCTTCATTAAAAGACCTTACCTTTAAGGGATATACATTTTTTGAATTCTTAGGTAATGCTTTCAAATCTGCTTCTGGTGTGTTGCAAACAGATATAGATTCAAATCTTTTTTCTGGGGTAAACAAATCTCCAGAAAATGTTACATTTAATTTGCGCTTAGGGGTGGTTAACATTTCTTCAGCAAAATCAATTTGTTCAATACTATCAACATTCTTATTATATTCATTTTCTTTTATAGTACTACAGCAACCATCATCAATTGAAAAAGAACTATTAAGTAAACCCGGGTTAAAATTAATAAAATTATGTTCTTTGATTACAAGAACTTTTTCTGTCACATCATTTTCCAATTTTTTTACAATTATATTGGATGTATTATTGTTTTCTTTTTGAGGAGTACTGTCGATAAACAATTTTCTTTTTACATACAATGCTGTACTCTCATCTAGTTTATTTGTTTTGCCTAACATAACAATTTTTTTTTGTGATAATTCTTGAAGACTTTCAGAAATTTCATTTTCTTGAAAACTCTCTTGAGAACGCTGAAATATTCTTTGTTGATTATCAATTTCTCCTATTGTGCTGCAGCAATCATCATAGACTTTACAAGAACTATAAAGCAAACCTGGGTTACAATTAATTAAATCATGTTCTTTGATTTCAATAACATTTTCTTTCAAATCAATGCCCAACTCATCTACAATTATATTAGAAGTATAATTGTATCCTCTTTGAGGGGAATCATTGGTAAACAATTTTCTCTTTACACGCACTACCGTACCCTCATTTAGTTCATTTCCTTCACCAGAAATAATAATTTCTTTTTGAGATATTTCTCTAGGGCTAATAGAAATTTCATTTTGTCGAAAACTCTCTTCACAACGCTGAAATAGTCTGAGTTGATTTTTACGGCTACAATTAATTTTTAAAATTTTACAAATTGAATTAACAACCTCTGTCTTATAAATACAAAAATCATTTTTTGAATAACCATTGTCCTTGAGCATTTTATGGAAGTGTAACTTATTGTCTGCTGTTGAATTACTATCTAATAATTTTCTCAAGGCTGATTTAGGATTATTTAATGCCATAACTAAATTCTTTTTAGCTTTTTTGGTATCACCTTTCTTGAATATTACATTACAAATGTCACTTATCGCCTTATTAGAAACACTTATGTTGCCAAATTCCAATGTAGGATATTTTCGTTGAATGAAATTTGCTATTTCTTCCACGTTTTTTAATACACTCATTTTAAAATTGAATTGACTTTAACTTTTATAGTAGAAGCCTTACTCGACTACTTATCAATAGTCAAATGTATTCTTATATTACTATTATAGTAGGAGCCTTACTCGACTACTTATAAACAGTCAAATGTATTCTTATATTACTACTTGCTATTATAGTAGGAGCTTTACTCGACTACTTATCAATAGTCAAATGTATTCTTATATTACTAT